GGGATGTGCGATAGACTTACCTCTCCACGTGGTGCACCCTGGGCAACGTATACTCATACGGCAAAAAAGTCTATTAACAGGCAGTTGACTTCTGACTCCAAAATACCATGACCCCTCCCCTCTGAATGTCATTCCACCACTTCCGCAGTACTCACCTCACCTTTGTTTTACCTTTGTGTCTGTCTCTTTTACATCCGTGAATCACTCGTATGTCCCCCCCCCTCTCGTCTTTTTGTCACTTTGATGTTACTCCTCCGCACTGTGAAGCCTGAAGTCAATTAAAGGGCTAATGATAACTAGCATAAAGCCTACCATTTGATATAAATAAATAAATATTCGATGTTAGGAAAGAGCATCTTATATGAGTCCACGAAATTGCAGATTTCCTACCATTCTCGTCTCAATGCGCGGACAAATGACGCTCCTGAAGGCTTCCTCTGAGCTAAACTTCGCAGTGGCGGACAAGCCTTCACAAACAAAAGATATAAAGAGGAACAATATCCACACAAATTTATTTTACCTACACTTTATTGAAATTCTTCTCTCCATTGGTCGTCGAAACAGGCCCCAAAAACAGTACACGCAAACAATTCCAAAATCCTTAAAACGATATGTGTGGTGCATAAAAAACCTCGATTAGTAAACCAAAAAAAGGTCTCATTTTGGGGGTACCGTTCGAGGTGAGCTTCTAATAAGCAATTTGAAAATTGTTCCAATGTTCACCTCACAACAACTTTACCTATTCGTCACAATAGTTAATAGTACTATTCCAATGCTGGCACAATACTAATTACCTAAAAGAGATGATTAAAACAGAGTCTGCACGATCTTTACTATGGAATGCCTAGAACAGATACACCACAGACGCTTGTCAATACCAAAATAATGACAAAGACAACTCCAGGAGTTTCCTACGACGCTTGTCATATGGTGTGCCCTCGTCGTAATTGCGATAACGCATTCCTACCAAATTTCGTCAAAATGATGTCTACTAAACCAATGAGACTGGTCAGTACACGCATATCATGTCATGTTATAATGCGATTCGATGCATCTTCGCGGTGTCCAAGTAGTTGGCGTTCTATTGGAGAAAGCTTAAGAATGGAAGTTAATATAGGCATTAAGAACATCAATTCACCTTCGTAATGACAAAGTCAGTTTTGGGCAGACTGCCATCTCGAACTTGTTGAGCCACATTTCTCAAATGATCATGAATGGACTGTATCACAGTCTCCGATGTTGCCCGACCTGAGAGGAGTGTGTTGACACAGAATTTGCCCACCTCGGCAGCCAGTCTACACCAATCTCTCCTCACAATATCCAGTCCCTTCATCTCAGGTTTTGTTGGTGGTGGGGGTAGAGCAGAGAGGTTGCTTTGTGGCTGTGATTTCAACCATTCGGCGTATTGAAGTGGACGAGTGATTGACAGCGCGGCGTACTTCTTTTTAGCCAGAAGGAGCATCGACACAAACACACCGTCAGTATCCAGTTCTACGAGGCGGTAACGCCGGTTAACCTCATGTTTAACACGCTCTCCGATGGTTAACGCAGAAAGCAGATCTGTTGAATTGGTATTGACCATGATGGAATCTGTGTCACCATAGATTACCTAGAAAACAAGGCGACGCTAAAGCGTATTGTAACCACTGCATCCTCCTTAAGGTCGTCAATGATAAAACAAAGTACTCAAATATCTTAAAACAAGTGAAGGCTTTATTATGGACTAAACGTCGTGACGATGTCGAATCAACGATCTCCTAGGGGTAGTTATGGCCTTGAATTTAGGACCCATAATCCACCCCCTTCCCCCCACCATTGTACAAAAAGCGGCTCGAATAAGCAATTAGTATGAAGCACTTTATAGTTCAGTTAATTTAATATGAAAAGGGATGTGCGAGAGACTTACCCTCCACGTGGTGCACTCGGGGCAACTAATACTCATACGGCAAAAAAGTCTATTAACTGGCAGTTGACTTCTCATACGGCAAAAAAGTCTATTAACCGGCATTTGACATGACTTCAAACTACAATCACCCCACTGTATGTCAAATTCGACTACTAGCTTCAAAGACAAAAAAGTCTATTGATCGGCAGTTGACTTCTGACTTGCAAAAAGTCTATTGATCGGCAGTTGACTTCTGACTTCAAACTACCATCACCCCACTCTATATCATATTCGACTATTTTTACAGTACTCACCTCACCTTTGTCCATATTCGACCATTTCACAGTACTCACCTCACCTTTTTTCTTAAATTCGACCACTTCAACAGTACTCATCTTACCTTTTCTCTTCGACTTCTCACTTCAAACTACCATCACCCCACTGTATGTCAAATTCGACCCCTTCCACAGTACTCACCTCACCTTTGCTCTACTGTCGACTTCTTCCACAGTACTAACCTCACCTTTTTTCTACCTATTTCTCACTTCAAACTACCATCACCCCACTGTATGTCATATACCTCTGACTTCAAACTACCATCACCCCACTGTATGTCATATTTCACCACTTCCACAGTACTCACCTCGCCTTTTTTCTACCTTCAGTTGACTCTGACCCCACTGTATGTCATATTCGACTAAGGCAGTTGACTTCTCACTTCAAACTACCATCACCTCACTTATGTCATATTCGACCCCTTTCACAGTAATCATCTTACCTTACTGTGTCATATTCGACTACTTCCACAGTACTCACCTCACCTACAGTTGACTTCTCACTTCAAACTACCATGACCCCACTGTACGGTAGTTGACTTCTGACTTCAAAGACAAAAAAGTCTATTGATCGGCAGTTGACTTCTGACTTGCAAAAAGTCTATTGATCGGCAGTTGACTTCTGACTTCAAACTACCATCACCCCACTCTATTACTTTAACGGTACAAGTCTATTAACTGGCAGTTGACTTCTCACTTCAAACTAACAAGTCTATCAACCGGCAGTTGACTTCTGACTTCAAACTACGTCTATTAACTGGCAGTTGACTTCTCACTTCAAACTACCATGGCCCCACTGTGTGTCAAATTGGACCACTTCCACAGTACTCACCTCACATTTTTTTCTACCTTTGTGTCTGTCTGTCTCTATTACATCTTTGAATCACTCTTCTGTCCCCCCCCCTCTCCACTTTTTTCACATTAATGTTTCTCCTCCTCTCTGTGAAGCCCGAAGTCAACTAAAGGGCTAATGATGTTCCTCCTCTCTGTGAAGCCCGAAGTCAGCTAAAGGGCTAATCTTCTGAAGCCCGAAGTCAACTAAAGGGCTAATGATATCTATCAAATGCCTGCCAATTGATATAAATAAATAAATTTAATATGAAAAAAACTAGAATCAATTAGAGGAAGAAAGATAGAAATAGGTGACAAAAAGTAAAAAGGGTGAAAGGAGGGAGAGCTGGCTATCAAACTCCACATCAGCATGAAGCTTCGGCTGAGTGCAACCGTCATGCGTCATTTCAAGTTCTTTGGAAAGCAACATCTCTGGCAGTTTAGATGTGTTGTCAGTTAAAACTCTGACAAGAGGCTCTGAGATAAGGCGGTTTTACATTGCCAGGATTACGATTGCAGGGTTAATTTACCAGACAGCAGGCTTTGTAGAAGGATACAAATTCGCGTCGCACAAGGTCCGCTACCTTTCCAAACTATTGCAACATTTTACAACATGAATTTGAGGGGTGTGCGATAGACCTACCTCCACGTGGTGCATCCTGGGCAACGTATATTCATACGGCAAAAAAAGTCTATCAATGGGCAGTTGGCTTCTGACTTCAAACTGCCATGACCCCACTGCGGCAGTTGACTTCTGACTTCAAACTTCCATCACCCACACTGTATGTCATATTCGACCCCTTTCAAAGTACTCATCTGGACTACTTCCATATCACTCACCTCACCTTTTTTCTACCTTCGTCTTGAAGCACTCTTCTGTTCACCCTCCCCCCCCCCCTCTCGACTTTTTTTCCACTTTGATGTTCCTTTCGCTCTGTGAAGCCTGAAGTCAACTAAAGGGCTAATGGTAACCATCAGAACGCCTGCCATTTATATAAACAAATAAATAAATAACAACATGAATTTGATAATATATCATGATTTAAATTGGCAGAGATAATTGCTTCGCCCCTTTTCCACACACAAATATGCACTTAACTAAAAAAGGCAAATAAATTAAAACTTAGAAATCAATCTGAGAGAAACCTGAATTATTGATTTTTATTCTCATTATTTACTTTTGATTGACAAGTTTAAAAAGTCGCTTGCAGTATTTGCGTCAATATAAAGTCAACATTTCAAATTAAATTTCCGCCTTGAAGGCAGGAGAAATCTGTTGAATAAAAGAGACCAAAAGTAGACAAAAAAGGTTCTAATTTCATTAACTACTTGGGATAAAAGCTTCACAGATCAAAACCGTGTAAAAATGGAATAAAAGTGGGAGTAGTATTGTTACAAGTGGTGCAGATTTCACAGTTATTGTTCCATGAAATGAATTTTTACAGTACTTTAGATTTCCACAACACAAATGGAGAAAAGACATTTCGCCTAAAACACAACCCACAATTATATGTCAATGAAGCGACTTCAAACTGATGATTACCGCGTCATATGCACTTTTATGCGGGAGACCAATATTTAAGGGTGAAAGTTGAAATTTAAAAAAAAACAAGTTAAGACAAGCCGAACGTTATTCCAAAAGTGCCAATTACATCGAGTTTCATGTTCTCAACGAGTTCCTTGGTATTCATCAGGAGAGCACGACCTAAGCCTGTAACCAGAGCAGCGAGACCACGAGCACAGAAGCGAGAAGCCCCGAAACCAAGACAACCGTAGACAGAGTTGGCAGTAATTTTCAGAGCCTGTTGACGAATGTTCCATTGGGCTACTTTGGTAGAATCGTTTGCAGAAGCGGAAGCAATCAACTTCTTTACTTCCTTTCGGCTTTCCACCAAGCGTCGAACTTCTGTGGGTAGGATGCCCGGAGCGCGGGAAGTTGGAAGGCGTTGAGAATTTTGAGAGGGCTTAGAACCACTGGTTTGAGTTACACTGGATATCAACTCGGAAATATACACATCTTCGTTGTTGTCAGTCTAAATAGATATCAATTAGAAGACGGTCACAGATACACAATTAGACAAATTCGAAACCACTCACAGTCGCATATTCAGTATTATCATCTTTAGCAGCAAAGAACGAGCGTTCCATAGTGGTGAAACAGAGGTTAAACTCTTGAATAATTGAAGGATAAAGAGAATTGAAATCCAATAGTAGAATATACGTGTCATAGAAGCCTACAAGTGGGGACAAGAGGGTTATCAAAGTGCGCACCTAGGCTGCAATACACAAGGCCATTAAAATATTAATCCGAACTCACCAACTTTCGGATCTAAAACAAGACCACCAGCGTAAGCTGGCTTACGACGACCTTCGTGGGCTTCATCTTGCGGGTCACCAAACTCATCCTTGGCACCACGACCGCGCTGAGGACGACTTGAAAAAGTTGATTCCGGTGGAAGGTAACCTTGTTCGGTGAAAGCGTGAAGAAGGAGAGCATCGTTGCGTTCTGAACGACCACCCGCTAGAGTGCGACTCAATACATTACCACAGATGGAAGTGATTTGGCTGGCTAGTGGCATGACCTAAAGTACAAGCGAATTGGATCCTTCAAACCAATTTCAGTTATTTAAAAGTTAAACAAATGTTAAACAAGCACATTATTTCACTTTATTACTGGGAAGTAAATATTCAGAGCGGTGGTTCTCAATCCAACAAAGGTACCCTGGCCCAATTTCTGGAGGTTCTGATATGAATCAGACCAAAGTACCTCAAGTGCGACGGTGCAGATAAAGTTCAAAAAAAGCTTCCTTTATTTATCAAACTGCGCTACGCATATACCGTGGCACTTGAAACAACTTTCATACAGGGCAAGCCTTTTGAGATATGCATTTGACTAGTAATCTT